TAAAATTGGTCATTCGCTTGGCTGTTCGTGGGACATTGCTGTGTGCATATTGTCTGCCACGTTCACCTACAAAAATAGTCATTACGCTCAACCATAACCTTTCGTGTAGTGGCAAAGTGCTAGTTCAAACGCAAGGATTATTATTAAACGTCTCTTTTTAAGCGAGTGAAAATTGACGTGAATTATTTTTTTTAAAAAATATGTTACGCAAATAAAATCCTTTCGAGTCTAAAATGGATAGTTACTGTTACCACAATACCTTGTTGATTTGATTTGTTTACCAAAATAACTCAGAGAAGTGTGCTTAAGTAACCGCAAGCATTTGTTTAAAATAATAAACCTTTCCTTTTTTTACAAAAAAAAATCGTAAAAATTTAGATTTTTAAATAGATTTTTGATTAAATGGATGGGTTTTTTTTAAAAAAAATCTGACAACAGGTTTGTACAGCTGGTCTCCAGACTGGAACTGCCGTCTCTGGTGATATTTTAAACGTTGGAATGGCGCTGTGGCATTCATATACTTCCCGTCTTCTCCCCTACCTCCTGCACGTTGCTCTGCGTCTAACCAGAATAAAATTGTTACTCTCAGAAACAGGAAGTAGCTGGCACAAAGGTTAAGTTTTAAAACGCTAATTAATAATAATAATACTAATAATAATCCTTGCATTTGACGCAGCGCCTTATCACATCGCGACGTTAAAACTAAATTAATTAAATCCAAGTTAGCCCAATGGCCTTGGCGGGAAAAGGCAAGGCTCATCCCAACACTAAACCGTGTAAAACCATAAGGTTGCAGATTTGAATCCGATTTTTTTTTTTCTACGCCTGAGACATGGCAGCTGATGACTCGCAACAGTTGGCTTCAAAGCCTCCGGGGCAGAATGAGGAAATGTGTGCCAGGGTTCCCTCAATCACTTGCGATTCAGTGATCTCTGCTGGAAAGTGTGCGTGGATGTGCGTGTGTGTGTGTGTGTGTATGTTGGGTGGGAATCGGCGTGTGTTCAGTTGGTATTTTCACAGTCAAACAGTACTGCTTCCATACAGCGTGTGGGCCAATACACGAATAGCAACTCAAGCGAGGTTTGAAAACCACCAGTGGCCGTAAACTTGCACCACAGCAGGATGCGCTTGAAATTCCTTTGAACGTTAAAATAAGACTACAGTAGGGCTATTAACAGTACGTGGAATTTTCATTTGCTTGATCTTCCTGGAGATTCTGTGCCTTTTCATCTGCGTTTTCTGAGTACGCCATCGCGCCGAATTTTTAATAGACCGTGACAAAAAGCCTTTTCTCCAGATGCATCTGAAATGAAATGGAACATTTTAGTCTGCTTTTGATTGTGTTGCGGAATTGTTGTTGAAGAACGATGATATCACAAAAGATTGCGAGCAATGAAGTTTAACGGAAAACATGAGCATAAATCATAGGGATGAAAACACTTTCGGCACTCTGCGTGGTCAAGTAATTAATAATTTTATAGAATCTTATACAGCAAATAGAGCACGGCTCCACCACATGAGACAGAAAATGATATAGCTTATAGATTAGTCCTTTTGACTTCTATTTAGCAAAGAACGTTCTAAAAGCAAGCTCAACTGAAGCAACCTGGTTAAGAGCAAGCATTAAACTTTTGTACAGAAATATTGACATCAGATGTGGTTCCTGTTTCGGTGTCTCGATGCTGGTTTCAGGGTTTAACAATAATCTTCCAGCTGCACAAATTACCAGACCTAACGCAAGCCTGTTAAAGGCTGGCTAACCGCCAGGCAGACTCAAGAATGTGCTCTCAGAGGAAAACATCTTTAAACATTAATTTTGGAGGGGGGGGGGGGTCACTTAATGACTCGTTTGCCTCATTTGCAAAGATGCATTTATTGTTTCACGGTAAGAGGTTTAAATAAATAATTGATGTCATTTAGTTGGTGCAACTACCCTGTTCCATTTATATAACTCTCCTCTTATTATGTACAGTAGTCAGGTGTGCAGCGACAGTACCAAAGTGCCATTATTACTGTACAACTAAAATATACTCAAGTCTAAAATGGAGTATTTGCATATTAAGCGTCAATCATTTGTCCATGAATATTTTAATCGTAATGAAGGAAACCGAGGATAATTGCTTTCAATACAACCAATGGCATGCATTTATATAGCGCCTTCATGTAAAACAATAATCCTTGCATTTGTTATAGCACCGCATCAAAGCACTTCAGAGCTTATAATGACTGTATTTGAAAGTGAACACTGCAGCCAATTCATGCACAGCAATGTCCTGCAAACAGAAGTGAATACAGAGTTTGATCTGGGAGCTTATTGACCAGGACATTGGGAGAAACTTGCGTATTTTTTTGAATAAACTTTTAACATCTATCTGAAGAGACGGGCTCCATCTTGGCTTTACACCTCAACCATGGACAGGACCTCGGAAAGGCAACTTTCCCAGCTTTGTCCTGGAGTGCCAACAAGCCCAAAAGGACCCTTGAACTCACAACCTTCTCTCTCAGTCCTACCACTTGAACCAGGATGACATGGATTCAATGGTAAAGTGATTAGTCCTTTATGCATTGTACTCCAATGTGCTTTTCCTTTCCCTTCTTCAGATGAAACAGCTGCTCTGTAGAGCCTAAAATTACATTTCAATCCCGAGGAAGGGAAAAGAGACTACCAAAATCAGGCACAATTCCACAAGTCAACATTAATTTAATAGAAAAGTGCAGCTTATGTTTGTTCTGTAAACAGATCAATGGCAGTGAAACCAAAGCTGACTCCCCCCCCACCCCCCCGTGCACTCAGATTCCTCCTCTTGACCTCAAAGCGTGTCCACTTCACTTCCTTATTCGGAATGGTCTGCTGGAGCACTTGGAAGGATTTCTGGCGCAGTCTCATACGTTCACTGTTGTATAAATGCCACTCAAATATTGCAACGCTCAGAAATTGATAAACAAAACACATCTATTACAGTTCCTCATATTTGTAGAGTTGTTCCATTAATTAATTGGGACTCAGTTAGTTCAGTCACTGTACCTTCTCAGTGACATTTGTAAAGGCCAGAGATCAAACATTTCCCCTCTTGGGATGGAAGGAGGTAATTCATACCCTCCCACAAAAACATCAGTTATTAATTTTACACATACTCACAAAGATCTCTTGACCAACCCGCTTTTCTATCACGCAGCAGAGAGTGAATTCAAAATTGGCAAATCTAAATCATCTCATCCCAATTTTAGTCAAGAGATTTATCACTGTGGAACACCTTGTCAAAGGTGTCTAGCAGAAGTTTCGAAAAATACGGGAACCCTAGGCATCCAAATTGATTGAGATATCCCACTTCCCTCTTTGTGGCTTCCACCATCCCAAGAAAATAACACACGACTTTCTTCAAAGCCTCTACTTTTCGAACGGCTACGAGGGAACATGCAACACCCACCCCACCACCTTTACAATTGCACCAATTGTTCGTTCAGCCTGTATAAAGACGGTCTCCAAAGAGTACTTAAAACTATATAAGTAGCATTATTGCAGCTGGATATTATTGGAACTCTTACCGATTAACTATGACTAGAACAATACGTGGACACTAAGTAAATACAAGATTGAGCAGCTCTGAAATGCTTCTGCCCTCCACCCCGGACTCGTATCAACAGTCTGCTGGTATTGTCTAGGCAGACAAAGGGCCAAATAGATGCCACACTGAACACAAGACAATTTAGAAGTTCAAGGAACGAGAAATGAAAGCTTTACATGTCCACGACACACCAACTTGATTCATAACCACTTATTTCAGCGGACAAAGTAAAATCTAACAGATGCAAACTATATAAAAGATTGTATTTAAATTCACTTTTTATTTTTTAAGATACAGAACAAAGAAATAATCCAGACACAACCAATGTTAATTTGCTTTTTGTATGTCTTCATAATTCACCCATTCTACACCCCAATGCTCAAACGAGATGGGAGTTTAAAAACTTTTAAAAATGTGAATCGCACTTAACATGCAAACCACTCAATTTTTTTTTGGAAAAGAAAATTTCACATAATAGTGCAGATTTTTCAACTGCACCCTTCATTAACAAATGGCACATAGCACTGTTAAAAAGATCAGTTGGTTCCGACATGATTGGTTTATTTTACATTTTTATTTTCAGTCCAGTCTTCAAAACGTGACATATTTATAGTAAATGCTCTGAAGTAATGCAACTTTTTCCAATCTTGGAAGTAATTTTATATGGTTCAGAAGAATTATATGACAGAAACGAAGCACAGTAAAGGTAGAAAAACAGAATACCTAATTAAATCTATTTGTTAACGAAACTATGCCCAAAGCAGATAAGAAATAAAATTTAAGGCTTCCATTTGAAATTTACTTTGTATAATTTTATATACTACACAACTGCAGTAGGAAAGATTAACATACTTTTATGAAACACAGGCATACATTGCACATTCTGGGCAATCTGCTACTTCAGTATTGTACAGTTGAACAGTTGTTTTTATTGATCATCAACAACTCCTAATTGACACAAAGTAATAATGTGCTAACTCTACACTAGAGCATGCTTTAAAAAAATCATATTGGTGTATTAAATGTTATCCGTAGATATTTACACTTGTAATCTTTATCCCAATCCCTTGTCAGGGGTGTGTGTGTATCCCAAGTGTGTGTGTATGTATGTGTATAAATGCAGAGCACACCTCAAAGTCCAAAATACAATGCAAGGGATTCCAGCAATCCAAATATAGCCCGTGTTCCCTTTGGAAGTTTCCCGATTAAGCACAACACAATCCTTTTTTTAATAAACAAAAAAGACGTAATCTGCCTTTACCAGGCTTCTTGTTCAATGCGCTCTGTGAAGCTTAAAAACGGGACGGTGAACATTTACTACAATTTTAATTCAAGCCGAGATGCAATAGGTTGTTGCATCTCAACGTTAAGTCAATATTGGCACATCAGGATGCCCATCCACGATAATGAGAAGCCAGTTGGTCCATAGTGATGTGAAATTCAATTAGGTTATGTTTATTGAACACGAAGCCTGCTTTTATTATACATTTTACAGAAACCTCCTGAAGTACTCTTACAGTGGCGTACAAGGTTTTAGAAGTCCCTTTACAACAGAGTATCTATGAAATCGATACTGTGGAATGCTCTACTAAATAAAAAGATTGTCAAAGTCTGGTTGACATTTTCCCACTAACACTGCAGTTTTTATTTTCAAATTCATACACAATAGCACTTCATTTCAAAATAAAGTCAATATCCTCGATTTCGTCTTCACTCTAAAAACAATGAAAAACAAACTGTTCATACATACACTTCCCTCCCTCCCCCCGCCCCCCACGTCCCTGAAAGGAAAAAGAAAAAAAAAGCAGAACTTGGAAACATTTAGCATCCTCCACCATGAGCTCAGCTGCGATAGAATTTTTAAAATATTCAGCTTTAAAATAAATAGTCTATATTTTGTCCATGGTGTCAGTGAACGTTTTGATGTCGGTCATTAGAAAAATCTAGGTTCTTTCATTTTGTAGGTAAAGATTAATGAGTCCCTGCTCATTGCGTCTGGTAACCTGCCATCCCAAAGCCAGCTTGGTTAGGTATCACGGTTGTACCCTGTCCTTGAGCTGGCTGAGCACCAAATCCACCTACCCAGGCAGCTGCAGACGGGGGTTGACTGCAAGGGGGAAAAAAAGAAACATCGCAATAATGAATTTAAAATTGGTCTCAATGATTATTGCACATTACAGATATAGAAAAGAAAATTAAACAAGTACACAGAAGTAGTTATATTGCAAACTGAGAAGCGTTATTGGTAAATCGACTTTGTCCGGTAAATTACTCACTCTACTCCAAAACCTTGCTGATTCCATGCTTGTCCATACATTCCATATGAGGGCACCTGCCAGCCATTGGCCACGTACTGACCGTACTGCTGTGCGTTCCCATACCATTGACCCCACTGGCCCCAGGGCTGAGCAAATTCCATCTGAATTGAAGAGAAAGCCACAATTACTACAGATTTAAGTCGCACACAAAACAACTTGTTAGAACTAAACACCAAAGCGCTCTGAGACACTGCCCTGCATGGAGGACGCTATATAAGTTGTTGTATCAGATTACCGGCTGGTATTTGTTGGCTGAATCTGCAGTTTCTTTGCCCCAATAACATTTAACAACATGTCCTTCAATAGTAGTTCCGTTGACTGATACAATGGCATGAGCAGCACTGTCGTGTGTTGCAAATCTACAAAATTGCAAAGAAATGTGTTAATGTAATCTTAATAAACAACACTGGAGCACAAATCTTTTCTGTCCAATTTGCTTCTCCCTTCCTTCTGGAGGTATGATCTCATAATCCAATAAAACATTAAACACCTAACATAATGCAGGGACACCATCGAGCAACTGCTGAGCAAGGGAATACTACTGCAGCTGCACTTTGTCTAATCGATATACAGGTAGACTTGTACCACTTAGCATACTAAGTGTCTAGTTTCAGAGTTTAACCTTAAATTGTTGCAAACGCAATCAATTAGCTGCTACATCGCTGGGCAAAATAAAATAATAATAATCCTTGCATTCGATATAGCGCCTTATTACGTCTTTGAGACATCTCAAAGCGCTTCACAGAATATACTGTAAAGTGTAGTGACCGTACTTTTGTGGGGGTGGGGGGGGAGAGAGAAAAACACCATTATAAATAAAACCTACCTGACAAAGGAGTACCCCTTTTCTGGGAAAACTCGGATTTCCAGGATTTGACCAAACGGTGAGAAAGTCTGACGCATAAGTTGTTCTGTGCAAATAGTAAATAGGTTTGAAAGTTGAGAAAGGTCAATAGTGTTCACAAAAGGTCGGCAATACAATTGTTGAATTATTTTCTAAAAGAAATTGAACTGAAAAACACTAAGCATTCTGCTTACCTGTCAGACCTGATGCTATGCCTCCACAGTAAACTGTACAATTTGTGGAACTAGACTGATTCACTACTTCTTCAAATCTCAGATGTTTGGAATTACCTTTAAGGAAGGAAAAAAAATGACATTAGATCTTAAACGTTGGGAGGATTTTCCAAATTGGGAGGACATCCCAAGGCGCTGGACAGTTAGGGATTTGGACCTGAGCGTGCGGGGGTGGAAGAGAGGGGAGATTGGGGGGAGGTGGCATAATTACAGCATAATTACTGTAGCATTGTGCAGCTTTAAAATAGTTGATGGATTTCCCCCTGGGGAACTCACTCTCTGGCGTTGTCTTTGGGGCTGGTGGCTTGCGTGTTGCCCAGTTTGTACGAATCTGACGTCCTCCCAGCCACTGTCCACCCATGTGCACAATTGCATTTTCAGCATCCTGTGGACAATAAGAGTAAATAATTAAACCATATTCTGCCCTCCGATGACTCTTGTTCAACTAAAGATCAAAGTCGTTCACAAACAGGAAGCAAAATGCCGGCCCAATTATATGCATTGGGCCCTGATGAGGAAGCAAACTCAAGGCTGAGAAAACAGAATTTTTAAAAAAATAATTTCCACAATATCTAGGTAGTATAAATGAGATAAATAGACAACCAGATGCATAATTGCTTTGTAAACTGTTTTCAACATTGTACTAATTCTGGCGTCATAAGCTGGAAGGTCTCATTAAGCCCATGAGACTATTTGTTTCCCACAAGGGAGGGGCACGAATCTGAACAACGCACGGTTGCTATTCAACTCTTAGTCTCACTAAGTCTAACACTGCTAAAAGACTCAAAAGGCAGGTAATAAGAACAACATTGGCTGAGACTCAAACAGTAAATGGCCATATCCTCCTTAGCCTTGGGTGGAAAAGCTAAGCATCAGGAAAAAGGCTGAATACCTAACAAGGAGAAGTTTATACCACATCAGCAACTAAATGGATAAATTATGCTGGTGATTAGCATCTAATAATTCACTCACTGCTTTAAGATGATCAAGGTATCATGTCATTTTTGACTGCCGCACCCAACCTGAGCTGACCCTCCCAAAAAATACCTCCCCATTTCTATTTAATAACATTAAAATCAGGATTTGAAATGACAGAGCCTTCCCACACAAACAAACTGCGTTCTAAACTAATTTCATTATTTAATACATGCATTTTCTGTTTAGTTTAAAATGTAATCCTATGAAACAAGGACTTATTAGTTGCAGTTAACAATTCAACAGTCAAATATCTTCAAATACTGAAGTTGTAATTAATCAGCCAGTGGAAGATGATGCTGTGAACTACTGTGAGTTGTCTTGTCTTTAAAAATAAAGTCATTTGAAATGAATTGGTCTAACTGTACTCTGCAGTAGGCGTAAATGTGTATCCTTTAGCACAACAAGATTTGGCAACATGGAAAAGCCATAAAATACAATAAGTCTATTCCAGTTGATTCATTCTTTTTGTTTAAGATCGGAACCTAACTGCCTAGCTCCTACCAGAACAATTCAAAGCACAGACTGGAATAATTTCTGGCTCTGGCCAACACCTATGAGCAAAACAACCTTAAAAAGACTTCACAAGATTCATAGTGTAGTGACTGCATTTTCTATTGAAGGCACATTCATTTTCCAGTAATTCACAGAACATGATATTATGCATAACGCAAGGGAGGAGGCGAGGCGGACAGCATGTGGAATGGAGGGCTCCATCATTGTCAGGTGGTTCTTTGGCCAAAAATCCACATGCCAATGATGGAGTGGGTGAGGCACGTGAAGCAGGCGGGAGCCCGCTGAGAAGAGGGAGTGGGCAGGTTGGTAGGGGGTTAGGAGGTCGCAGAGGTTGGGGAGAGCAAGGCAATGGAAGGCTTGGAAAGTGAAGACCAGGATCTTGAACTGTATCCTGTGTGATGAGAAGCCAGTGTAGTTGGGCGAGGATGGGGTGATAGGGTCACGGAACCGGGTGACCAATATGAAACGTTATTCATATTAAAATAAGCATCAACTTGGGTCAGTGGTAGCACTCTCGTCTCTTTTGAGACAGAAGGTTGTGGGTTTAAGACCCATGTCAGGACTTCATCTCACATAGTCTAAGATGGTACTCAAATGCAGTACTGGTGTGTGTTGCACTGTTGGAAGTGCCTTTCTCTGGATGAGATGATAAACCGAGATCCCGTCACTCCATTTCACAGTAAATCCTGAGACATAATTCCAATGTGATCAGGCACTATACCAAAGGCAGGAATTATTATTGTTTAGCAACTGAATTCAGAAAAAAAAACTTACCAGTTTATTGTAGAATGACACAAATCCATAGCCTTTAGACTTCCCTGTTGACAAGTCCTTTACAACACGAGCATCCCTGTGTGAATACACAACAGAATGAAAATAAAGTCCCCAAACAGCCCTGAACAAATTAAAAGGAACCACACACACTGTATCGTCAGCACAAGTCAACTTCAAAAAAAAAACATGGATTTTTAAATATCCCATTGTAACTATTCACTTTAACCTCTACTAAAGCTCATCTTCAGTACAATAGTTAAATAATAAACATGCAAACTGCAGGAACCTGAACTCTTTCACTTATATTGAACTGGAAACCATGAACTGTTCTGAACAGACTTAAACACTAACCCTTTGCTAACACTGATGAGAAATATTCCATACCACAAAATACAACTGGATCCAATTGTCCTTAACCATGCATCTCTATATAGATCTGCTAATGCTGTGTTCTACCTAGCCACACAAATACTTGAAATATAAAAATTCATAAAAGAGGAAAAAATAAGAATTAAAAAGGCATACATCGCCTGTTAACTGAATTCTTTATTTTTCTCGGTATGGTCAATTCTCTACCCTCTTTTTGGACTGTGGGCAGCTGTAAATTTTGAAAAATTGAGACTTTCAGAAATTTAGAAAATGAATATGAAACTAAACAATACTAAGCACACCAGTACGAACAACATAATTACATAGGATTTTTAAGCACGTCAAATATGATTGGGAATATGAAATTCGCACTACAGAGAGCACATTAAAAAGGTTAACAATCAAATCTATAAGTTTATAAAAAGAGAATAAATAGAAATGAGAAAAATCTACAACTGAGTTAATGAACTTCCAGTGTGCACAGTTCCTTGCAGTTAGCCATGGGGATCCTGTCCATTCTTAAGAGCAATTCTGTAAAATAACCAGAATGCTATTACTTTTAATTGTGACTTGAAACTACGAAAAGCTGTACATTTCTCCAATATTTCTGCAGCCTGTGTAAAAGCAGTGTACAAGTGGCCTTCTGTTGAAAATTACACAAGCTTATTCATTTCACTTACTTGTTTTAGGTAATAAAGATAGGTGAACAGTAAAAAAAAAACATCCGGCACCAATGTTACTCTAATAGGTAGTCAACAATAAACATGCTCAGCCTCTCCTTGGCTTACACAGCGCTTTCATTCAGATTTAAATGAATACATTCGGTAGCTTTGTACATGCTGTATCTTGCATTAATCATTTTAAAGAACTAATACCAAGAATCAGTGTCAAATATATCAAGCCACAGTAAAAAGTGAGGTCACATGCCACATTTATCAATGGAAAAAGATGATGCAGTAGAATAAGAAACCATTTATTTTCCACAGGGATCTAGCACCAAAGTTTGTAGAGTACAAAGTATAAACTATTCTGAATGTGAAAGTTATTTTGCCAGTGTGCGAGCAACACCAACTGGTAGCAAATGAGTACTACAAACAGACCTAAGCGAGTTGTGGTTAAATAACTGCAGAAACTAGCTTATTGCATCATTGGTGCTGCAGCTAATAAGATATCCCCCTATATTCATTCAGACCAGTGTGAAACCCTCTTCAGATTTATACATGCCTGTGCATTTTTTGACATAGTTGATATCGGAATGTTGTATTAACCTGAAACAAAACACTAGCCTTTTGCAATTTGCAAGTTACGTCTTCTTGCAAACTGAACATAAAGCAAAGTCATAGGTAAAGTAGTCCCCTGCCCTCCAGCATTTCCTTTATCTGTGCCCTTGGCAGATCTGCCATCAAAGAAGAGAAAGCAAGAAAATGCTATCAAGAGACAAGTTTATCTCAATCTTCATAGAAGTGAAAATGTGCCATTAAAGCCATTTTAATAAATATACACTTCCTGAAAATGTGTTCAAAATGCAGAGTCTGGCATATGGAGGGGCATTGCACAATTGAGATCCAAATGAACCAGGCAATTTGGGAGGAAATGCAAACAGTCCTGGAGTGAAACTATATCAGATACAACACTGATAACAAACATGGTCCCATACCATTGTTTGTGCAATTCACTCTGCATTTCAATTCCTGTCTCTCTTCCCTCTCTCCCATTTACACTCAAATGCCCAGTTCCAAAACACTAGTTCCAATAGAACATTCTGGCATCAAGATTCAGGAAAGCATGACATTCCAAGGCAATGGCCAAATCAAACTTTGCCCTGCTCAATGGATAGGGTACAAGTAGTTAAATGAGAGGACAGATAAGCTGTAAAATCTTCTGAAATATGATACAGGCAATTCAAGACAGTTCATTGTCATTTTAAAAAATAACTAGTTAATAATTACAAGGATTTATTAAGACTTTTAATAACATAAAAGCATACAAAGAGGGGGGGGGAGAAATACTTGTCTGACAGGCTAGGACTGTACTCAGTTCCCTCTTTCAGTTTTATGCCCCAGTTGTACTGCACTAAGTGCTGTAGTACTTACTGAGAGCAAGTTTAACCGTCTGAGTGGCAGCCAATTGTCTATTTATGTCACAACTGATGTAAGAATGGAACAGCTGACCACATACAAAGATACAGATACTGTCCTCTGATGGTCATTACTATTTCTAATGAATGAAACTGTTAAATAAAATTCAAGATACCTAAACAAGTGACTCTGCACATGATGAATAGATACATGGTTATTTGCAGAAACATATTCAGAGTGTCTCATACTTGAGATGAGAACGCAGGACACCAAGGAATCATTATGTAGAATATTTGCAATACAGTTTACAGAAACAGTTCACAGAAATTCTGCCCTTTACTATATATTTACCACCATCTTGAAGCAGCTTCAGTGTCAGTTCAGAAATATCAAAATGTTCCAGTACTATTATCTTTTTGAAGGTCCCACATTTCAAAGGAGGCGGTAGGCATAAGCCATCCCCAAAATTAATCTTATAATAGCAGTGCCAGACCGATAAACTGTATGTGTACAATTATGGGTGCTGCATATTTTGGTACAAGTATCACGGTACTCGCAAACATGACCTGGAAGATCCTAATGTGGTGCTTCCAAACTACCTACACATTTCTTTGCAATACACATTTTGATTATTAGGCTTTTTACTAAAGTCAATGGAATTTACAAAAGTAAATGTTGCTTCTAGTCTTGAATAAATCCTAATGTATTTAGGTTAATATATGCAGTGAACTCATTTTACCAGATTCATTCAAACGGTGCGAAATTCATATATAACGAAACTAGATGCAAAATGTTACCTCATGCTTTAACTCAACTTACTGGCTAATTATAAGCAAGGTCATATACTACTCATTGAATATATATTGTAATACTGTTAAAAAAAGTTGCAAAATTGTGGCATTGTTAAGTTTAATTTGACAAATTCCACAATAATTCACAACTCATAATTTCCTGGCTAGATAACTTTATTTGAAAAACTTGCTTTTGAGCAGAAAAATTACCCAGTCTTCAAACTGCTTTTTGTTCCTTTTAAGCAGAAAGGTCTTCTTCACTTACAAGTGAGAATGAACATGTAATTTCAATGCCCAACCACTTTGCAACAAGGCCCTGATAACTGAGAAGTGCACACAATATTTGAAGAGTTGGAAAGAACTGGAAAATACTTACGAAATTCTACCAAAGGGAGCAAATGCAGATTTTAGATCTTCTGTTGTTATTTCAGGACTTAAGTCACCCACAAACACATGGAAATGATCTATGAAAAAGGTAATATAAAAACAATGAATACATGAATTTAAGTAAAAAAAGTAAATAGTGAACAACACTACATTTTCATGAAGTTGCTCATCGGACCACAAGAGATGGCTATCAAAATATATTCAAAAAGTACTTAAAAACGAACACTTTCAATATGGATTTTTCTCTACAGCTAATATATTCTCCCTCAAAATGAAGAATTTAGCAACTAGTGTCTAGTTACAGCAACTACTAAACAAGTACAGAGACATACCTGACCAAGTTGCTGGTGGCCCCTCTATCACTGCAGCTTCTTACTTTGGACAAACGTGAGGGAAGAGTACACTGTGCAGCGACCTCTGAAGTCCACTCAGCAACCAACCCAATCACAGTGTGTTCGCCCAACTCAAAACACTGAGAACCGTCTTTCTGTGACCCAATAACTGCACTTACACAATGAATTCCAGATTTATTTAAAAATTGCACATATCTGAAATATCCTCAGTCCTGAGCATTTTAGATTTGCAAGTCAACTTAGCCCATTTAGAGTACTATTCAAGATCCAAGTTTAAGAACTTAACAAAATCAGTCCTCAAAACTAAAATTATTCAATTAGTTCACATTAACAACTCCAAACAATATACCTCCCATTTTTGATATCAAGTATTCAAATCAAGCTGGAAAAATGGGATGAAAGGATCTCTCAAATCTGTCCCAAGTTAAATTGCACCCATGTCATTTAGAGGTATAGTAAATGGAAAATTCCAAATGTAGTAGGGTGCTCTGAAGAGTGTGGAATGGTTAAGGAAAATATGGACCAGAATACATTACAATACCTTATATCAAGCTCATAATGTATTGAACTAACTAGACACTAACGTGTCTAATTTGTTATATTTTCTAGCAACTGGCCTACACTGGAGTGACTTTAAAAATAATTTGGAACTTCTACATGCCCTTGGTCATTAAAGGGTTTTAATTGAAAATCACCAGAAAACCAAGATGTTTACATGTATATAATTGGTGAAATCCGAGAAACTATTTAAATTTCAACCCGAGTAATGTTATTTTCCAGACATAACAGAAAATTTATAGGTTAAAACAATTACTAACACATTTCCATACGACTTCAATTGTTTTACCAGGAAAATTTCAATAAACAAATAAGAGGACAGACAAAATGGTCATCCTCTCAAACAAAGGACCACAGGGATACCTATGCGGCCTGTTTGCTCACTTTCTGCTTTAAACTAGAAAGTTTTAAAAAAGCAACAACCTACTTCTATTTCTTGCTGGTTGGATCCCAGAACCAAACATTTGTGTGTTATTTCTATCACACATCTTCAATTAACCACATGCAGCAGTTTAGTTTGATAACTGACTGTAAAATTTTCCACAAGGGCAAGTTACAACTCAAGACAAAAAGAGCAATAAAACAGGAAGTATGTCAATCCAAATTTGACTGCTACGTTACTAGCATATTTGCATAAATAATGTAATCAACATAGGCTGTTATGTGTATCATTCATTGTAATGTTTAATGCAGTTGTCAAGTTTTCTATACATACTACATTTTTCAAATAATGCATACAAAATGTACAGTGTCTGAAACATTGTGGAAATGGGTGAGAGTACTTAACATTTCATGAACTAGTTTGTACTAATTATAATTTTTTTNACTTTGCCATTTGTACCAATTAGTAATTTCAAAATAGACACCATAAAAATCCTCTTTCTATTGGAAAATCACATGTCACAGCACCACTGCATTGGCAGATGTAATACATTTGCTGATTCAATTTGCTAAATTGCTTCCACAACAGAGAAAATATATATTTTTTAAAAAAGTACTTACTAGTTGTATCTTTCTTCTGACTACTTGGTGTTGTTGCCCAGTTTACTTTGACTTCCTAAAAAGCAATTTAAAAGTGAAGAACTTCATTAAAATAGCAGATTTTATTCTCACCCTAAGAAACAAATACAACCAAAAGGAATTGCTGATGGAATAAAAGATGGAAGACAACTACAAAAGAAGGTTTATATATGTTAACTTATTCACAAAAAAATGTTTAATAGGCTTTACATTAAGGATTACATTTGCCTCCCACAGAATAAATAATTTTAGCTCTTTTAGTGAAAGTTAGGTCCTTTTTCAGTTACTGCAAGCTTGAGCTAATTGTGGCTCTTGCGGTCAGATATTGAGGCAAATAATGCATAATTAGGCATTCCTAAGTGTAAGTTTGTCCTGGCTGTATAAAGGCTCTGTGAACAAAGCTTTCAGTGGGCAGTTTGAAGGTTATGTAGATGGTACAAATTTAACATTGCTGAAATCAAAGAGATTTACACCTACTAAGAGAAAAAATAAATTCTGCAGAGTTCATGCTTCAATATTGTGACTTACAATTCTGCAATAAAAGTAACTGTACAGATCTTCAGATTCCCAATTTTTAGTTTAAAATTTGTTGATCCTTGGCAGCATTAGCAAATAAAGGTCTAAACTACCCAGTCTAATAATCTGCCAGGCCTGGTATCATCCTTGTAACCTGTACTCTTTCCATCGCTGATAATATTCTACTTGTAGCGTGGAGACCAGAATTGGACACAATACTCCAAAGTACACAATACTCCAAAGTACACAAAGTACACAAATACTTCCAGGCAGAGGGCGAAACCTTGGGCAAGTTTCCTTACTCCACACGCCTAATAATAATCCCTCCAAAAACCAAAAACAATAATTAAATTGGTCATTTTCAATCTATGACTGTTTGTGGGACATTGCTGTGCGCAATTGGCTGCCGCGTTCGCCCACAAATATACAGTCAACTCACTTTACAGTATATTCTGTGAAGCGCTTTGGGACGTCCTCCCGACGTGAAAAGCGCTATATCAAATGCAAGGATTATTATTATTATTATTAAATGTGCCTTATCAAGGGGTTGTATAAATTCAACATCACCTCCTCAATTTTATATTCGATCCTTCTGAAAATAAACGCCAAGTCTCCATTAGCCTTTTTTATTGCGTAATCCAGCTGTGTAGCTACTTCATGAGATTTGTGGATTCCCAGATCTTTGTCTGGCAAGCATCTCCAGCTACAACTATTCTACAAGTTAAGCATTTTGGATTACAGGGCTAACAGGAGCCTCTGTGGTATTCTTAGTCGTCTGGTTCCTAAATCAGTCAGCACTCCAAAGCACTGTTGATGACAGAGCCAGCAACCTAGCTCATCAACAGGACTTGGAGGGACAGAATAGTAAATGGAAATCTTCCTATTCAGCTCCCATTCACCCTTCAAGCCAAATCCCTAACAGGTAGGGCAATGATTATTATTGTTCCATAGAATTATGGAATATACAATAGAAATTATGTAGTAACATTTGATATTCAAAATCAGAATAGGAAAAACTTGCAGAACCCGTCAACCTCTTTGTCCCAATAGAAGTCTGGCACAAGTAGTTTCAAGTAGAAATGCACACAAGTCTATCAACTGCTTTCCTCACTCACCCTTTAGATACGATAGCTTACCTTACCCATTATTTTACGGCCATTCATTGCAGCCAAAGCAGCTGCTGCATCCCGATGCTCGTAGAACTCCACAAAGCAATAAGGATCATTGCTTGAGTGCTGCAAAACAGAAAATCCAACAGAAGAGTTCACCCTTCTGCCTGCGGTTTGCTGAGAAGAAAAATTCACGAAAACTTAGTACAAAGAAAATAAATACTTACAAATCTACATTATAGCCTTTACCTTTTATAGGCAATCTGTCCACAAAAAAAAATTAAAAATGAAATTACTGAACATTTATGATTTCTGAACATTTCTTTAACACTAGTAATACAGGGCTTCCCCCAGGTTTAAATAAAATTCATCAGTTTACAAGTTGAACCCTAAAATCATCAGTAAAAAATTGCTAACTTGTTGACTCCCAAAACCAATGTTTGGGGCGGCAGTGAATACGAAACATTAAAACTTTTGCAGAGACCTGCTGCAATTTACTGTGACACTGATCTTTGCCGTCTGCAATCTGTAATCAGAAACGGAGCTGAAAGCACATCTTGAGTGAAGGGGTTTATTTTTGCCTGGGAAGAAGCTTTGTAAGACAGCTGCTACATGAACAGTAATTCTTTAAAAAAAAAAGTAAAATCTAATTTACAAGCAAATATTAGATAAAATAGTAAACTAACAGAAAGGTGGAACAGTAAAGGATTCATCTCACCGAAAGGCCTATGGTCAGCTCACAAACCAACCCACAAATTCAAATTCATGAACGTTTCTGACGAAAATCAGAAGAAAAAAATTGAAGTTCTATTAATCTTTTGAAGACTAACTTCTTCACTTTCCAAGTTGCGTCACATCCATACAAAGGTCACTATTCTTGCTACACGTTGGAATCTTTCAAATTAAACTGAACCTCAACATAGTTGGATACATTACCCACCAAAAATAGGTAACATAGGTCCACAATAGTTTGATGCTCGGTTGATTAAAACATTCCCAGACTTTAATGAATGAGAAATGCAAAAAGTCACCAAATAAAAGAACAGCCGCAGATTAGTCTCTCCACTCAATTTTTGTGAAAGTCCACTGATTACAAAGCTAGGTTAGCAATCCAAAAAAAATGCCGTAAAATCCTTTTCTTTAGAATATTTGCAAGCTAACATGCAAAGCCACCAGAAGTTTGACTGAAAAATCAGAACTACACATGGGACAATGCTCTTTACTATAACTGGACCAACAAAATAGTACATAAACTACATATTTCTTAAGCTTTGAGAATAGCTTTTGCATGGTTTGGTTTCAACTGAAATATTTTACACACCATTTAAAATTATCCAAGGACTATGTTAATGTGCTCAGCTGAGGAAAAGGTTGGTCGGTGTCTGCTTCATAAACAGTGATCTATTTGCTTTAAAGAATTTTAAAAATTTGGATTGTTGTTGTGCATGAGATTTTCAGCGTTATAAAATTAACACCAGACTCGCACACACATTCTCTTTCGAAAACAACCAAATCCACAACCACATCCTGCAGCCTGAAGGCCAAGGAAGCCAGCACTGTAGCCTTGCCTACATGGCACTTTCCAGCATTCCAGATGAGCCAACTCCTCAAAAGTACCATATGTAAAACGTAATAAACATAGCTATGCATCAGTGCTGCAATTACATCAAACAAGCTCCTGGAAAATAAAACACAATTCAACCGCACATGTAATTAAGAGATGGAAACACTCAACTCTTAAAAGATTTATACAAATTGAGCCCCAAAACCCCAGAATCTGAAAAAAATTAGTCTGAACTTCTTATAATGTACCTGCGCATTATGACCTACAGCATCACATTTCAAACTGGACAAAAATGTCTAGCGATATTTACATTTATCAAACTAACTTCATTCAGGAAACCACAAATAATCCAATCGTAGCAATTTGGAAATCAAATATACAATGTGTCTGCGTATATTGTAAGATGGCCACAAATGCAGTAAACCCATAAATTTACAGAAGAGTAAAACTAGGTTTCTCATTTCAGGAAAAGAGCATTAAAATGTGTAATGGTGTTTTGAGACAGTACATTGCATCACCATACATTACAGTGGCATATGCTTAATATACCATTTTGTTAAGATACTAAATTGTTTTGGGAAAGTTTTTCAGGGGCTGAATGGTGGCTTACTACATATAGAAGGGCAAGAAAAGTAGTTTATTTGGCATCATCAGAAGCTCCCAAGCAATTGGTTTAAAAAGCAGAATTGGTAGAAGCCTTTGAGCATTCCCTCACATCAGGTAGTACGAGATCTGGGGAGAAAATAGGGTGGATACACACCATCATACAAACCAGAATGTCTTTCATCCCCAGTGATCATATCTTAGTCACACTGAGAACGTTCCCTAATCGAAACCATCTGCTACAGTCTGGTGTGCAATAGTTCTGACATTGCAGAAATCAACTATATAAATTTTAATTATCCCCAGGACAAAGAATGCACGTTCAAACTTCTGTTCCTTGGGGAAGAACACACTGTAAATATGCACAGCTGTTCTGCTGGGGTTGTAGCTGGCATTTTTTGCAGTGCATAATTCAAAACACTGAAGACTAGCAAGAACCTTCGTATGGAAGGCATTTTGAAAGCAATATGTATATTTGGACTTTTGTTTTCATGTTCAATGTTTCAGAATTATCTAGTTACCCAAAAAATGTTTCTTAAGATGCAAAATGGAAAAACTATTTCAGGATACATTGTGTTACTTCAATACTGGACGTTGTGAGACATTTAATATTTCATTGAGGAAAACATCCTAAGCACAAAAGTGTACATTACATTTATTCTGATTCAGAGTATATGTTTAACAGTTGGGTTCTTACCTCTGTAATCATTTTACAACTTTTGCATGGACCAATCTGACTAAAAAGTTGAAGTATAAGGGCTTCTGTCACATCTCTAGAGAGATTACCTACGTAGCTGAAAAACAATTACAAATCAGAAAGTCATTATTTGCAAGAAGCAATTTCCACACAAATGTTAACTTAAATCTTTCCACCTGAAATGGATTACACATCTTTTCTATAGTTAATTCAGTACGGACATTTGTCAGATTAATATTTTCATCATCATCCCAGTTACTGGATGCAATAAAAAAAAGCCAAGGAAGAAAATTCTCACAGGAACTATCAAATTGCTGCCCAATTTAATATGACAAATTCACTCTTTTAGAATAGATAAGGAGGCTAGAATTGGTTCAACAACAAGAAAACAAATCGGCTTCTCATTGCTGAATAGTGATGTGTACCTTTTTCTAAACCGGTCATGTGTGGCTGTCATATGAGGTGCACGGTCAAGCTTGGGTGCAACCACAATTAAATAGCCTATCAGCACTGTCTAACCTTATGAGTAAAGCACTTGGATGATGGTGGCGGGTTAAGTAGAATTATACCTCAATATGATTCTGCCCTCTAATTAGTCTAACTAATTGGCTGAAAAACAGTACAACCACAAAAGAATGACAAGTCAAAAGCTATCAAACGTCATCCCTCCAGAAAAAAATAAACCTTACAAAAATTTAAAAATCCTAAGCAGACACACAAATGCATACAGCAAAAGAGGCAAATTCATTTTATCCCCTACCTTAAACAAGCTAAAGTTTCACCTACTCCCATTTCTTTCTTTATCCCTCGGTTTATTTTGTCAAACACGGATTAGATAGCTTTCTTTTAGGAAATAACATTATGGGATATAGTACATGGATAGTTCGGGACGTATGTATGCGACCACCAGGAAAGTGGAAGGCAAATAGATTGACCTTGGTCTTTTTTCCCCTAGCAGTTCTTATGTCTACTTAAAACACCACTTGCACATGGCAGCAATAGCTCAGAATCCTTATTGGACTTGTTAAAAGGAATATATGTAAATTATGTTGAAATATCATTTAACCTGTTAGAAAAGAATATGGGTTTTTTTTGCCTTTAAGAGGACAGAAGCACCCTGAGGTATAATTCTACTTAACCCACCACCATCATCCAAGTGCTTTATGCATAAGGTTAGACAGTGCTGATAGGCTATTTAATTGTGGTTGCACCCAAGCTTGACCGTGTACCTCATGTGACAGCCACACATGACCGGTTTAGAAAAAAGGTACACATCACTATTCAGCAATTAGGAGCCGATTTGTTTTCTTGTTGTTGAACCAATTCTACCCTCCTCACCCTTACTTGCCCTACTTAGGGAAAATCAAACTGCATAGCCCAGTTTCACTCAAGGTAGTACCTATCAAGTGAGCACCCAAGGGAGTTTAGAATAGACAACTTATCCTTTGTGCTGTTTTCCCTTGGCAATTTTATGTATTATGATTATACTTTTTAAAATCAATTCAATTAAAAAAAGTATGTGTCCACTGACAATAGGAAAAGAAAATGAATACTTTGGGAATTCACTGAAGGTTTCCATTAAATTCTAAAGCAACATTGAACAATTTGCAGTTGAAGAATGTTAAAAGATGATATTTAACTTAATGAATTATGTGAAAATATTTTTTTAAACTAAAATAACTAATGAATTGGTCTATTCAGTCTTGTAAGGCAACTTTACAATTGGCTGTTCATTACTGCTAAGGCAATCACATAGCAAGGCAAAGGTCCTTTTGTAATATACCTAGTTACAATACATGAGTTAGCAGATCAATCGTGAAATGCTTTATTTTAACAACATAATGAGAAGAAACCCTTCCCCCTCACTCAGTTAAGGAATTATGTCAAAGCACACTATAGCGAGCAGCACAATGTGGAAAAGTTTCACTATTGTATTAGGCTAACATAAGCAAAATAGTCAAATTAGTCTAGCTAAATAAGTGGAATTACCTATGATATGGTTGGTTTCATATAGCAATACTACACAGCTTCAACTTTTGTTATCATCACAAAATATTCTGTGTTCTTTATTATAATTTTCAGCAGGAACCAATGTGATTGGTAAAGACTAAGAATGACAAGACCCCAGTATGGATAATGCTCAGAATTCTATGTAGGAGGCATACTAGTTGAACCTACCATGGAAGGGAAAAGTATGAAACATAAAAGCCAATTAAGATACCAGGATAGAACAGGCAGGAACATTCTAAATCGAACTGAAGAGACTACGTGTATTGAAATAACTAAAATGTATTCTGTTGACCGGATATGCTGCAAATGTTGCCACTGTAACACACCCCATCTGGTTTGGTTTACTTTTCCTCTTTACTATACGGCACTAAATACTGTTATGGTATGGTTCAAATGACATCATACCACTGAAAGTTTATGACACCAGCTTGTTCACAAATAGACTTTTTTAGGTTAAAATTATGACAGCTAGGCCCAATATGTTGTAAAATATCCCCTGGCAAAAGCAAAAAATGCAATCCTATTACACTTGTTAAAAGAATATCTAACTAGTAAAAGCTTGAACTTCTCCAAATACAGTAAAAAGCTAAAAATTTGAATAAACGTTTAATTACTCAAGTCCAAACGATTTATTTTTAAAATGAAAATCCCAATAGCACACATTTCTCATGCAGTAAGCGAAATGAGAGGGCACCAATAAATCAAGCTTTGAATTCTATTGTGCTACTGATGGACATATCAGCATTTTCAGCGATGAACCCAACTTAATGGAATCTCCCAAAGTTTACACAGTTGGCTGTGTAGGTTCAGGTACTCTAAGCTATTCCAGAATTCTAACTTAGGGCAGAAAAGAGCCAAAGTTTTGTATCACTCAACACTGAGTACAAAATTTCCCACTTTAGAATCCAGAACAGCTTCAAAGTATAGATGTTGGAATTCTCTCTGGAGAGTAAGTGCTGGTATACTTACACTGAATAATGGATACCCTGTGATTACCATTCAATAACAGCATCCAAGGAAAAGGGGGTGTCAAATGACTTCACAAACCATGTGATGATCCAGTCAGTTATAAGCACCTGACCCCCAGGATGAAACCACAAGTCTAGTTATTCCCACAGGATTACTTTTCAAATAAATATCGGAGATCACAGATAATGTTTCACCATCACGAGTGGACACTGACCATCCACATGTCTGATTTTCTCCCACCGTTAGTTACGCTCACTTTTACCGGGGAAAGACAAGATTTTAAGAGTTGTTCAAACATTCGTTAACATTTCAATCTGAGCCTAAAACTTTAGCCCATTGGAAATGGTACTTAGGAAACACGTCAACCCCCCCCCCCCCCCCCACCCCCACTGCTTGTTTATCATTGCACTCTACATAAACATAACAGCCAGACAAAGAATTTCCACGTACGACAGCAAAAACGTGGCAGGAGTTCGGGAATCCTACACACACACACGTATATAAAAAAAATGACACCACATTGACAAAACCAAACTGCTCAAAGCATTTAAAAACTCGACTCCCGTTTCACTGCAGGAATAAATACGAGGACACCGAAAAAAAAATAAGACACACACACACACACGTAGCAGACAAAAAAAAGGGGGGGGGGGGGGACACCACGGTTTAAACCGGATTTAATTAAAAAAAAACCGCCCGCCTCGACGATCGTATGATCCTCCTCACAAAACCTGAAGCTGCCATACTTTTTTCCTGTGTGTGGCAGCGCCGCCTCCATTAAAGAACTGGAGGCTTTTCGAGAGCAACGTCGATAAGGTAACGCGAAAGGGAAAAAAAAAAAAGCGGGTTCTCCTTCATAACAATTATTATTTCTGTCAGAAATCTTGGCTCTGTCCTCCCTCCACCCTCCCCCCCCCCCCACCACCAAAAGACCCCAACCCTCTCTGTGTGTGTGTGTGTGTGTGGGGGGGGGGGGGTGATGCGTGTCCAGAGATGGCGATTTATTTGTTTAACAGAAAGAGAGAGAGAGAGAGAGAGAGAGGGGGGAAAAGATTTTTAAAAAAATCCCCTCACGTCTGTCCAGTCTCCCTTGAACCATCCCTCTCCCCCTCCTCCTTCCCGCACACACACATATACACCCGCCCCCCCCCAAAAAGAAAAAAATATAAAACCGATCCCGGGGGGGGGGAGGGGGGGAATAAAGGATCGGAAAGGCATTAGAAAGTTAAAAGGCGGCGGAACAAATAAATAAATAAATTTAAAAAATAAACGCAAGAGTTAAAAACGACGTCGACGAAGGGGGTGAGAGAGAGGGGGAGGGAGGGGGGGGAGAGGGGGAGAGAGAAAGGGGGAAAATTCTGGAAATCAATCGGTGGCCGCCCGCCAAAGCCGAGGCCTTACTGAGCGCGAGGCCCTCTCTCTCTCCCTCTCTCTCTCTCTCCCTCACTCACTCTCCCTCACTCACTCTCACTCTCTCTCCCCCCGAGGCAAGAAAAAATAACACACAACACCACACAACACACACACACAATAAACCCAACAAAAATGGACGCTTTCTTCTGCTCTCTAAAACGTCGAAGTGGCGGTTCTTTTTTTCTTCTCTTTCTTTCTCTCACACACACTCTCTCTCTCCCCCCCTCCCGCCCCCACCTCTCTCTCTCTCTCCCCCCCCACACACACACACACAGCGCTAACTCACAGAGTGCGGGGATATGAGTCGTCGTCCATGTCCGAGCCGCGGCCGCTTGACTTGGGGTTCACTTTCTGGCTTCTCTCCGCCTCCTGTTCGCCCCCTCTTCCCCCCGTCGCCACAAAAAGATGGCGGATGGAGGCCGGTGAGTCACGGGCGGGCGGCCTCGCGCGCATGCGCCCTGAGCTCTCTCTCGCTCTCTCACACACACACACACACGCACTGACTGACAGACACGCAGCGTCCGCCCCCCCACCCCGTGCCTCGCGCGCAGGCGCAGTGCGCTCACCTCCCCGCCCCGCCCTCCCCACGCGTTGACTGACACGCAGAGCCCCGCCCCCTCGCCCACACCAACAACAACACCACCAACAACAACAATAACACCACCAACAACAACAATAACAACAACAACAACACCAACAACAATAACAACAGCAACAACACCACCGACACAACCGCCAATAACAACAGTAACAACAACAGCAACAACACCACCAACAATAACAACAGTAATAACAACAGCAACAACACAACCACCAACAACAATAACAACAACAATAACAACAGCAACAACACCACCGACACAACCGCCAATAACAACAGTAACAACAACAGCAACAACACCACCGACACAACCGCCAACAACAACAATAACAACAACAACAACAACAATAACAACAGTAACAATAACAGCAACAACACCACCAACAACAATAACAACAACAATAACAACAGCAACAACACCACCGACACAACCGCCAATAACAACAGTAACAACAACAGCAACAACACCACCGACACAACCGCCAATAACAACAGTAACAACAACAGCAACAACACCACCAACACAACCGCCAATAACAACAGTAACAACAACAGCAACACAACCACCAACAACAATAACAACAACAACAATAACAACAACACCAACAACAATAACAGCAGTAACAATAACACCAACAATAACAACAGCAACAATAACACCGACAACAACAGCAACAATAACACCAACAACAACAGCAACAACAACACCACCAACACAACCACACAACAATAACAACAACAACAATAACAACAACAGCAACAATAACACCAACAATAACAACAACAGCAACAATAACACCAACAACACCACCACCAACAGCAACACCACCACCACCAACAGCAACACCACCACCAACATCAACAACAGCACCACCAACAACAACAACACCAACAACAACAACAACAGCAACACCACCACCAACAACAACACCAACAACAACAACAACAGCAACACCACCAACAACAACAACAACAGCAACACCACCACCAACAACAACATGCATTTATATAACATGCAAATACAAAATGACATTTACGCTGCACCTTTCACGTCAGGAGGACGTCCCGTGGAGTCCTGTAGCTCAGTGGTGAGAGCCCTCACCTGGCAAGTGAGACGACCTGGGTTCAATTCCCGATAGATCAGGGCAAAACCTTGGGCAAGTTTCCTTCCTCCACGCACAGGCCTGATAATAATCCCTCAAGAATTAAAAAATATAATAAATTTGGTCAACTCAATCCACAGCTGATTGTGGGACGCTGCTATGCCAAATTGGTTGCCACATTTTGCCCACAAAATACACAGTCACGACACTTTACAGTATATTCTGTGAAGCACTTTGAGACGTCTAGAAGACGTGATAAGGCGCTATATCATATGCAAGGATTATTATTATTAAGGCGCTGGACATTCAAACATCCGCACCCCAGCTGGTGGTTCGGGGAGGGTAGGGGGTAAGAGGATGACCGCAGACACGGTTGAAGAGGAAGGATCTTGAGACAGGTCTCGAAGGAGGCGAGGGAGGGAGTGAGATGGAGGGACTTTTTTTTACACACACTATTTGACCAATAGATTCCCACTCTCTCCAAATTCCTGTGACAGAGGCTTCATTCTGTCCCCAGCTCACTCCGTACCCAGCTTGCTCTGGTGGGCTCTCTGCTTGCAAACACACACAGAGTGAGCCCCAAACCCAACCCCAACACCCCCACCCCACCCACAGCCAGCCGTGTTCACACGCCATGCTCTCACTCTCACACATTGACTGCCACACACACACACACACACACACAAACACACAACCAGGGGGATGGGGTTAGGAGGGTGGCCAAAGGCATGGTCAAAGAGGAAGGTTCTTCAGACATGCTTTGAACAAGACAAGGAAGGGAGCGAGGCAAAGGCACTGAGGGATGGAATTCCAAAGGGTGGTGGGGGGTGGGCAGAGAAGCTGAAGGCTTGACCAACGTTGGTTAGGTGGGGCGGGGCGGGCCAGGCGATGTCGAGCAGGTGGAGGGAGCGGACAACTGAACAAGAATAATAGCAACAAATTAGATTTGTGTAGTGCTTTACACTTTTGATCCCCCCCCCCCACCCCCCCAACTATTTGTTTGGTTAGCCATGTGGAAACCCATCGCCATTCTTATGAGAATCCAAACCATACCGAGAGCTCCAAGCGCCCCCCCACCCATCCACGTGAAATGCCAGAGATATTTGTTGAGATGGAATGCGCACTCTCTCCCTGGAGGGATGATCCTGCTTGTCAAATTCCGGAAAGTATTAGGTATAGGTTGGCAAAAACCAAGGCTTGGGGGTCCCCAGAGTGTGCGTTGAGGTAACTGCTCGAGTCTTAACCAGCTGAGACAACATAGCTTGCCATTGAGAGCGCTGTCTGGCAAGCTTTCCCGCTGCAGCACCACCACCCTCTCCTCGTCCCTCAAGCTCTCTCTCCGCTTGTCAATCCTACACCTACAGTCTGACTTAGAAAACGTGCAAGAATAGGCCACATTGCTCTCTCTCTCTCTCTCTTTCTCTTTGCATCAGCAATGCTCCCTCAAACGCTCTCTGGTGGTTGTAGTTTCTTGGCCTTTCTCTTTAGATTTTTTGTTTAAAAGCTCGCTGAACTACGTTTCCCACAATCGGCGTTGGTGCTGACGATGTTGCATGACACCAAAGCATGGCGAAGTGCATTTAGTGCATGCTCATATAGGGCCTTTCAAATCAGGATACCTCAACGTACCTCAAATAGGTGACTGGGGAGCCCGTGTGGGGGGTGACTGAGACCTAATCGAAAAGAAAGGTCTTAAGCTATGCTCTCATTGCTTAAGACCTTTCTTTTCGCCCACAAAATATACCGTCGATTCACTTTACGATATATTCTGTGAAGCTCTTTGAGACCTCTCGAAGACACGATAAGGCGCTGTGTCAAATGCAAGGATAATTTATTTATTATTTATTGAAATAAAGGCATCAGTTCGGGCATCTTTATACTTTTTTTATACCCACTGTCAATATCTGCGAAGATGCTTTTCAGTCAACTAGTTACACTAAAACCCAGGCTGGCTGGACCAATGTGGGGGAGATCCAGTTTCAGTTCCATTTACCTGCCCTTTCTCCATACCCTTGCAGTTGACTTTTTTTTCCAGGTATCTATCCAGTTCCCTCTTGAAGACCAATTTGGATTTTGCCTCATCTACTGCCCCTGGCAGAGTATTCCATATTCCATATTCTTCTCCTAACCTCCCCATTTGCTTATTTACCAACTATCTTAAACTGATGCCCTTCAATTACTGATTCTCTGACACTATGTCCTTGTGAAAAAAAATTCCTAAGTGATGGAATGTGAATTTGCTCTCACAATTCCCCCTATGTGACAGGCTGACTCAGTTGGTATGTGTCAGGCTGACTTAGTTGTTTTGCATCAGGCTGACTCAATTGTTAGCACTCTCATCTCTGAGTCAGAAACCGTGGGACTTGAAACTCACATGAGATTAAGAAGACACTTCAATGCAATGCTGGAGATGTCTATCCCGAAGTGAAAGGCCCGATAGAAATGTAATTTGTTGTTGTCGTTGGAGGTGCCATCCTTCGAATGAGACATTAAACCAAGGCCCTGTCTGCCTGTTCAGGTGGATGCTAAAGATCCCATGGCACTTTTTGAAAGAAGAGAGTTTCTCCCGGTATCCTGGTCAACAATCCCCGACTAAAATTGATCATTCACTTCGTGGCGGTTTGTGGGACACTGCTGTGCACAAATTGGCTGCTACCTTTGCCCATAAATCACACAGTAATTGGACTTTACAGTATATTCTGTGAAGCGCTTTGGGACATCTTCCGATGCGAAAGACACCATAACAAATGCATGGATTATTATTATCTTTTATTATTACATGGGAAGCATTTGATCTACATCACGCTGTCATTGGGAGGAGCTGAACAGTGGACAGTTGTACCTATTACTGTATTATCTGAAATGTTGAATAAAGGCACTGCAAAACATTCATTTAGTGTGAGTCTAACATTGCCCTCTGGTGGGCAGAGTATGACTTCAAAAATAAACAAGAAACAAAATGGTAGAAACCAAAAAAAACTGTGGTTGCTGAAATGAAAGCAGAAATGCTGGAAATCCACAGGAGAATAATAAGTATCTGAACGAGAATTCGGTGAAGAAAATAACGAAACGAAAAGTACGATTGTTTTCCTATCTCACTGCGCTAAACTCAAAGAGAATTAAATTGCACACCTGTTAGCGTTTTGGCAGCGGCAAAATAACAGGCAATTAATTGTGCGCCAGTCTCAGATTATTACGGGTAATGTCGCGTCAAGTGGCACAGACACTGGCAGCATGTTTTGCCGCTTGCCACCACTGAAGCACAGTGTGGCACCACAGGGACCTGGATCTGCAACACACTCATCCCAGAATGTGCGTCATCTTTCAATAATAATAATAATAATCCTTGCGTTTGATACAGAGCCTTATCACGTCTTCGAGACGTCTCAAAGCGCTTCACGGGATATACCGTAAAGTGAACTGACTGTATATTTGGTGGTCGAAACGCGGCAGCCAATTGTGAACAGCAGTGTCCCACAAACAGTCGTGGATTGAGTGACCAAATTGTTATTCTCATTATTATTATTATTTTTGTAAAGGAAGGATCCTCTCACAGCTTACCAGAAAATTACTGGTGAACTCTGCAAGGTATAAAAAGTCTGTTGGAAGGGACTAAGGAATTGACGTTCAAATAGTCGAAAGAAGTAGCTTCAGTATAAATGAGTTAACACAGGTATGAGCTGACAACAGCATAGACTCAATGGACCGAATTATTACTATGCTGTAATTTCTATACAGTATTCAAGCCATGAAACACTCACTTTTTTTCTCTTACTTTAATATACTACACTCAGAGTATAAAAAGCTTTATAGAGTTATTTCGGAAATTCCATATTCCTTTTAACTTGAAAAAAAGTTTAACAAGCTTACTCACACTTTATTTTTGTACCGTTTCAAATGCAAGATTTATTTACTTGCCTGCGAAATTTAGTATGGTTATTTCACTGAATAATTTATCACTTCCTCCCTCCTCATGTGCCTTTCTTTTCCACCCCCAACCCCTGCCGTCCGTCCTCTTTTACTCACAGATCAGTTTAGCAGTGATGACAGACTGGGTAAACTTCTCCAGAGCTGAGGAGGTTAAGAAGTTAATGTACATTCCTATGTCAGAAAACACACAAATGATCAAGTGCTTTGTACGTGTTATAAAACAGCTTTGGGTCTTGTCTACCAAGACATGAAATGCCTTTTGTTGAACAGTATTTGGGCAGGGTTCTAAGTGTCTTTGAACAGTACATATCTCACACAAAAACACATTACTCTAGTCATCCAATCTCCTCCCTCTTTTGCTGGATTCTGTCAGAAACACATTGGGGACTGTCAAACGCCAAACACTGACACTAGCAATCGTCTCATTAAGTTTTTCGAATACAATAAACGAGTAATGAAAAGAACGCTCAACTAGCATTTGACGCACGGCAAATGCCATTAACTCACTTAACATCTTTCAACGTTGAACTGTTTTCTGAAACACCCATTCTACCCAAAATACAGCACTTCCAAAATGTCACAATAGTTTCATTGGAACAAGCTGATTGAACAATTAAAGATATATCCCTCCTAAATTCAAGGGTTAGAAATATTGTTGGAGCCAGACAATACAATTCTTTCTTTCCGTTAAATATTCCTTCATAACATAGTAATGACTCTTCACAATTTTCAAATCCTGCTCATTCTGTGAGCCTTAATCTTCAAATGTTTTACAAGCAAAATTCATCAAATGCATTCTCAGAATCCAAGTAAACAATATAATAATAATAATAATAATAATAATAATAATAATCCTTGCATTTGTTATAGCGCTTTTCATGTGGGCTATATCACGTGTGTTTTTTCTGGGCGAAACACAGCAGCCAATTGCGCACAGCAGTGTCTCACAAACAGTCGTGGATTGAGTGACCAAATTATCTTTTTTGAAGGATTATTATCCTCGGAAAAGCGATCTGCCAATTGACTAACAACCGATTGTTCCTACTTACTGCCAGGTAAACAGTGGCGTGTGGAGTAAGGAAACTTGCCCAACATTTCTTCCTTTCGGGAAACTCACTTGCGAGCCAATTGTTCAAACCACTGAGCTACAGGACTCCAGAAGAGAAATATCTACAGAAGAGACATCATCCATGTAATATGTGCTGAGTTTATTGTGCATATTTGGTGGCTATTACCATAGTTATGACAGCGATTCTCCAATAAACATGCAGCACTGTATAAATAGAGTTGAGACACTGCAAATCATCCTTGAGATGTGGTCCTTTCACAACTTGGACCTTATGGATGTAATAAAAACACAGCGGATATGAATCACATCACAATCACACTTTCCTTATTCTTTCAAAAGTCTAAGGGAGATGTTCACATGATCACCTCCACTGGTTCCCCAGCACATCGACGTAAAGGTACATATCACGATCTTCGGTTTCCTTCAAGATCTCAATCCCCTGCCTGTCTATGAACCTCTTCCAGCCTATTCTCTCGCCTGTAACCTGCACTCATTCCTCACTCCCCGTGTTCCACCATTGGTGACCGAGGCTTTAGCCACTATGCTCCTGCCCTCTCTTATTGTATAATAATAATCTTTGCATTTGATACAGCGCTTTATCATGTCTTTGAGATGCCTCAAAAGCTCTTCACAGAATACACTGTAAAGTGAATTGACTGTATATATTGTGGGTGAAAAAAGTCGAAAAGGTCTTTGTCTTGGTTCCTCTCAGGAACATCCTTAATTCTCCTTTTTATTCCTTCTTGCACTGTGTATTTGTGAAGACTTCGAGATGTTCTCCCACGTGAAAGGTGCTACTACAAAATGCTATTTGCTTTTTTATTCGCGTGATAATATTCAAAGCCATATGACTGGCTAACAAAAGCAACCTTTCCCAAGGCCCCTGATTGTCAGGAACAGCGGAATTATCTGCTGCAATCGCAAAGCACTAAAAAGCGATCCTCAAGATCTCTCCGTGTTTCATCCCCCTGAACATCACTCCATAGGAAAAAGATATCCTTAAGTGTTTTGAATAATAATCATATCTACTGTAGCACCTTTCACATCAAGAGGTGGTTTCGAAGCACTTCACAAGATATACTGCAAAGCGTAGTGACTATGGCAGGACAGACAGGATCTCATCCAAAAGAGGGCACCTCTGACAACACCCTCAGCACTTCATTGGAGCATCAAGCGTGAACTTGTGTGAACTGACTGTCCAGACTTGGGGGCTTGAACCCACAACCTTTTGACTCAGAGGCGAGAGGGCTTGCTACCAACTGTGCCAGACTTCTATGCGAACAGTACCATTCTTTCAGTTGTTTTTTTTAAACAAAAACAATGACAATTAATAATTAATACACAACTTGCATTTACTGCGCTTTGCTCACAGATCCTCACTCTCGTGTTCGAATCCCTTCACTCCCTGGCACCTCCCTACCTCCCCGACCTCCTCACTCTCCAATCGATCGGAGGTCGCGGTTTCAGCCACTGCGCCCCAAAACTCGAGAGCACTCTCCCTCAGTCAATTGCGCACAGCAGTGTCCCATAAACAGCCGTGAGGTGAACGACCAAATGATTATGATCGCAGTATTTAGCTTCTTGTAGGGATTATTTACCCCCGGAAGGTAATCCGCCAGTCGACTGCTACAAAGATAGTCATTTCTCAGAATCAGCTTCCGAAACGTACATTTAGAAAATCCACCATATATGACCGCACAGTCCTGGATTTGGAAACGACACCCTCAAACAATTCCCGCTTACGTCTCCTTGCATTCGTAAGAACAGTTTACTACCGCTCCTTCAGACGTGTGTGTGTGTGTGGATGTGTGTGTGTTATTACCATATTAGGGATACACATACCAAGGGATTTAAGAGTGTTTAAGTTAAGGTTTTTTTTGGTGGGTGGTGGGGGGTGGTTTATCACACAAAAAAAGGCAAATCCAATTAGATTTAATGTGATCAGAATGAAAGGGGGGTGGGGGGGGAAATACATACTCCTGATTAATGAGTTATAATGGGCAGTGTGTGTGGGTGGGTGGGGAGTAAATGGAAAGCCAGTAACAGGATAGATCATCTACTTTTCTCAGTAACCAGCTCAGCATTGTTGCAGTGTGGATCCAGTAATAGTTTGATGAGTCAAAGCAAGGTGGGAGGGAGGGAGGGAGGGTGGTGATGTGTTTCAAGCCAAGCAAATAGCAATAGCAGGAGCAGGAGCAGTCAGACAGAATATTCCAGTCTTGGGGAGGACTTGTTTGCCATTCCATCTTCCCCCAGATCACATTCTAGATACTTCCAGCCCAGTCCATCACCCCCTTTCAGCCTCTTTGCCTTCCCACGTCACTCTATATAGTGCAGGACAGGGAGTCCAGTTGGTGGGGGAATGTCTCATTACTTGTCTCCAGGCTTTGGGATGAAGCTTTCTCCTAATCAAATGGCAAACAGCAGCAGCACAGACACTCTGCCTCCTGGCTGGGAAATTAAGATCGACCCTCACACAGGTTGGCCGTTTTTTGTGGATCATAACACAAGGACCACAACGTGGAACGACCCCAGGACAGAGCTGCAGAAGGTCAGTCCATCAGATCCACAGTGTGACACTGTGTGTGTGTGTGTGTGTGTGTATCTGCTCTGAGGCTCTTTAAACAGCCAAAGGGACTTGACTGACTGGTACGATGTACCCTTTTCTGTTCCACACACACTGAATCCTACTGTATACTCTGTGCCTCTTAAAAGATTTCAGCAGTTTGTGCAGCTCTTAAGTGTTCAGTGGTGTATTTATTTCATTCAGTTAAATAATGTCTTAATTAACAAACGTATTCATTCCCTTCTCTCTCTCTCTCTCTCTCTCTGTCTCTCTCTCTCTCGTTCTATCTGTCTGTCTGTCTGTCTGTACAGCTTTGCAGTGTTGGCAAAAGCTCTCTGCCTTCCATAAGGCTTATTAGTATTATTCCTATTAATAGCAATAATAATATAATATATTAATTCCTCCTCCCCTTCCTCCTTGCATTGATTTAGCTCTTGAAAGGCAGTCAAGGATATAGACTGAACCTTTCAAATGGTGCTGCCTTGACTGTAGTAACAATAATGAAGGTTATTAATATCTCCCTTTTCTCTTTGCTTCAACTGGAAATTATGAGCAGCAGAACCCAAAAACCAGTCCATTTCATTTTGAAGAGGGGGATAATGGTAGATTATTGATTTGTTTTTGTGAAAATATATATATATATATACATATACACAGGATAAACAACTGCCCTATTATCTTAAAAAAAAGCAAAATGTCATCGTTTCTTTAAGACCCATTAAGACATTGTAAATGTCTTAATTATTTGGTCACCCGGTATAATACGATCATTTTTTTTAAGGAAACAGTATTTCAAAGTCTGCTGAAGTTCTCCCGGTACAAGATGGCATCCTGATAGTTTCAAAGGTAGATTTGGTGTGTTTTTTTCCGGGTGACGCACTGCAGTCCAATGTGATGAAAGCATCAGCCAGTTAACCTTTAACTCTCGCCCTTTGCGATGTATATTTAAAGCTATCATTGCATTCGCTGGGTCCACAAACTTGTCTTTCACACCACCAGCTTTTCCGCCCTTCGTTACGCGCTACTCGGAGCACGAAACAAATTCTACAGCGTGACCAAAAAAGCAGTGATATCTCCCCTATTGTTTAAACCCACCCCCCACCCCAAAAAAATCATCATTTCTTTAAGGCTTATTATGAATAACGAATAATGATTTAATAATAAAATGATAAAAAAAATTGGGGTCGCTCACTCCACGTCATGTTGGTGGGACGCTGCGGTGCGCAATTGGCTGCCGCGTTTTGCCCACAAAATATCCACTTTACAGTATAATCTGTGAAGCGCTTTGAGACGTCTCGAAGATGTGATAAGGAGCTGTGTCAAACGCAAGGATTATTATTATTGTTATTATTATTAGACATTGTAATGGTATCACTACTTTTTCGGTCACCCTGTCGAATTACAATGCCAGGTTGGCAAGATAAGTAATAATAATAATAATAATCATCATCATCGCATTTGACACAGCCCCTTGTCACTTCGTCGAGACGTCTCAAAGCGCTTCACAGGATACACTGCGAAGTGGATTGATTGTCCATGCGTTTTGTGTGGTGACGGGTACAATTTCAGATCGATTTCTTGAATTCGCGGCCGTCTTGTTTGTTCGGACCGAACGGAGCCAAGCAGCTGACATCTTATTTAACTGACCGAGACAGTTGTCGGGAGAAAGTTTGGGCACATTGGGGATCACGTAGAGAGCTGCACAGCTGTCAGCTGTTAAAAATGGTGCTATGTTTGCCGGTCATTCTCTCTGTACACCCAAAGCGAAGCTCACAGGCATGTGGGGTGTGAAGTATCCACCCAGATATCCTAGGTTTTTAATCCGTGCTGTATATATTTCCAATGACGCGCTCAACACATTTCAAGGGAGTTTCATGTTCACAGAATTAAAGGGGCGAAGGGAAATGTCAACCCCCATTCAACCCAGAAGGACCTCAAAGTAGTTATGTTAAACAGAGGCATTCTGTAAATTTCAGCAGAAATATTTATTCTTATGAATCTTTTATAATCTTTATACAGGGCGACCAAAAAGGCATGATACCATGACAATGTCTAATAAGTCTTAAAGAAATGGTTATATATATTTTTTGTTAGATAATAGGGTAGATATCATGACTTTTTGGTCACCCTATTTTATAATAATCCTTGATTTGGGTATGGTGTCTTCTTTTTATACATATATATAATCTTTTAAAAAAATCAATATAAGGAGCAATTGGATAATTTTATTATCCCAATCCATTAACTCAAGTTTTTTTTAAATACTTCTATTTTGCTTCCATTTTCCATGATTTTCATGCGCTTTTGTATTATTATTACCTGTCACACACTGAGACACACAATCTGGTCAGCCAACAACAACAACAAGTTACACTTGTATAGCGCCCTTCGCGTCGGAAAGACGTCCTGGAGCCACCCTCTGCTCGGACAGACATTGCCAGCTTTCCTTGGCCCTGACAGAGTTGGCTTCCATGTGATGTTCTCTGCGAAGTAACACTGAGGAGATGGGAGCTGCACCCTGGCATGTTGCAGTGGGAGGAATGCTTGTCCTTCAACCTTTGACCTGGGTGAAGAGCCAAGAACTCAGCCATTTGAGCTATTGGGGCTTGAAAGGTCCCGGCTGCTCAGTCCCTCTGGGGGCACAGATATTGCTCTCTCCTGTGTTGAAACAACCCTGACGGGTCCACCTGAAAGAAGCGGGTATTACAACTCTAGAGGCTTAATAATAATCCCTCCAAAACCGAAAACAACAATAAAATTGGTCATTTTCAATCTACGACTGTTTGTGGGACATTGCTGTGCGCAATTGGCTGCCGCGTTCGCCCACAAATATACAGTCAATTCACTTTACAGTGTGTTCTGTGAAGCGCTTTGGGACGTCCTCCCGACGTGAAAAGCGCTATATCAAATGCAAGGATTATTATTATTATTAAAAAGAAAAGTATATGACCAGGATATTCATATCTTAATATGCCTTATGTCTGCATGGCAGGACATGGGATCTCCCTCTGTGACTCCTCACAGTATGAGATCCTGCTCTCAGCTCAATGAGGAGAGACTTGTTTCAAAGGGAGAGAAGATTCGAGATTAAATGAATCTTGCCCTGTCCGGTGGTTGTTTCAAAGGAATATTGAGAGAGTCCTGGGCCTTTGATTCCCAGCTCCTGTCATTGTCGAAGAATGGTCATGGATGTCATCTGCAATGTCGCCCAGGAACGTTACCCCCAAAATGACCCAATTGAGGCTAGTTTTGTCATGGGATGGTTCTTAAAGTTTGAAAAATGAGCGTCCAGCGAAATTTGTCAAAGAAAACGCTTGTCAATTTGGTGAAGACTGACTCATGCCGTCTCTGTTGGGGGGGGGGGGGGGGGTGGAAACGATCGGCCCTTCAGAAGATGTGATAGCTCGCAAGTAACAATTCAAGTCCCTTCCATAAGACAGCAGATATCTGAAAGAAGTTATATGCGTTATTGGTGCAACTGGCAGTTGCTGCACTGTGCGGTCGTACATACTGTGACAATGACAGTGCATCTTGCGAGGGGTATTGACTTACAGAAACTCGCTGTGAGATGACATCCAAAGCTGAACTGAGCCCTGACATCATTTCTGAAGAATGAATGAATCTTAGAGAAAGAATTCCATTCAGCACAGCCTTATTCTTGTCATCGCCGGTTAATATAGGAGCCGGAGTGGAAACCTTTAGGGGGTGCATGACATGACCCTCCAGAAATGTAGGCTAGTTCTGAAACTTTCCAATGGCTGTATGTATTAACGGCCCAGTGTAATTTCTCTCCATTGTCGCTCTGCAGGTTATTTTATGATCTTGTGCAGACACATTTTTTCAATGGAATTTCTTCTTCAGCTTCATGCCCCACCCACAACCATCAATTAAAGTTGTTAACGCTTTGACTAAACACGATAACAGCCTTAAAAGAAAATTGCGCAGTGCAAATGGCAAACTGAGAGCTCTGCCTCGTTTTTTTTAGGTAAAAATTCTCTTCTCATAAGCCATTTAATTCAAAAATAATTTAAGGTTCTGAAGCAATTTAATTTAATCGGCTGTATTCTTCAATCAGATAAATAAGCCTCAAAATGCTACTTTAGACTAATTGGGTTTGCAGTTTGCCATCCATACATAATTTTGTACAGGGAGTTGATGCATGGTTAAGTTATTTTACTGCATGAACAATTTCTATCGCTGTACACAATGGACCAATAACATGGATTCAGCTTGACGACAGTACATTACAGTAGCGTGTTGCAAACATTTACGAAAATAATGGATTTGTTCTTAAAGCTCATGCTCCAAAAGTTAGATTTTTGCGTTGTGACAGCTTAAATGTTTTCAATATTGAAATTAATTTCCCCCGATTTGGGGGGTGGGGGGGGAGATTAATTGCAGCCACTTTCACCGTAATGTATCATAATAATCCCTTGCATTTTCTTACAGCGCCTTCTCACGTCTTCGAGATGTCTCAAAGCACTTCACAGAATATACTGTGAAGCAAATTGACTGTATGTTTATTGTAACCGCAACAGAGGTAAAGCATAGTATTGAGACGTATCCTCTGCACTTTCTGTTTCTAGGAAAGGCAAGCTTTCTCCAATGGCCCATATCCATCAGCGTATCCCGCACCGTCACAAGATAACCCAAAACAGCGGCATGCAAAGGAATTCAGCACTGCAAGTCATCACCTTCGCCCAGGCTACATCCCCATCCCGATAATCCATGAAGGAGCGCCTGAACAATATCAGCAGAAATACCACTATTCGCCTCAGCAGCCTGACATGCAGAGACTTAAAGCTGAATGCCGGGCACACCCGCCAGTGAGAGCACAGTCTCCAACCAGACCCTCTCCAGCAGGGTCTCCATTGGAAGCAACAAAGGCAGACAAGCAAAGTGGTCAAGCTTCTCCAGTTAGCGTTGGACAAGCTCCTGGCTTGCAAGGGTCAGAGGTAATTTGTCTATTGATGATGATGATGATGATAATAATAATAATCCTTGCCTTACATACAGCACCTTATCACGTCTTCAGTAAAAGCGTATTTAATGTATGTTCTGTTGGGAAAACGCGGCAGCCAAATGCGCGCAGCGGTGTCCCACAAACAGTCGTGGATTGAAGCGACCAAATTATTTTTTTTTTAAGGGATTATTACCCCCGGAAAAGCGATCCGCCAATCGACTAACAACCGGGTTCCTACTTACTGCTAGGTAAACGGAGGCGTGTGGAGTAAGGAAACTTGCCTAATATTTCGTCCTGCCCAGGATTCAAACCCACGTCCTCTCATTTGGGAGTTGAGTGCTCTAACCACTGAGCTACAGGATTCATTATGCTTCCCCACCCCCTCCACCCCAATGCAAGGCAATTGCCATGTTTGAGATCTGAATAACTACGTTATCAGCCAGAGTTCCAGAGTTTCACTGGCAGTCACGGTCACACAGGCCAGAGCGAAACAAACAATGCAGACAATGTTCTAAAATTAATGCAAGGTTTGTTCCATAAGTATAAGTATAGAGATATATACTTAAGTATAGAGATAAAAGTGAGGGTAACCGGTGCAGTGAACCATGCCTTATTATTCCGGTTTCTTTTTGTTTAAAAAAAGAAAAACGATCAACCATCTCTTTCGAAAAGATTATCGTCGATTTATTTTTAACTGGGTCATATTTTGCGAGGCTAATAATAGCCCACTCGTGAAGTGATATTCTCGTCTTTCTTCTTTTTCCTCCTGTGTTATAAATGCCGCGTTTCAGAAGCCGCGTCTTAAATCAAAATAATTGCAAATCGCCTCAAAGTCATGAACGCTCACTTTGCTCAGTGAAGAATGCAGGGGTTCAAACGTTTAAAGTGAAATTGTTGAGTTCTTCTCTGGTTGATTAAGAGCAGCTTATTTTACACAGCCCCAAGCTTGCACACTCTTTGTTTAACCGAAGCATCTCCTCCCCTTCCCTCACTCTTTATTTTTCAGCATTCACCGTTCCAAACTACTTCCAGCCCCCAGACATTTTCTTCTCAGCCACATGGCCGATCGAGCGTAGGAAGTTCCCAGCTGCCTTCCGGTTATATTCCGATACCGGTGATCCACGAGGGAATGACGGCAAAACATCCTCAGCAAGCTTATTACCCTGCCCACCAAACACAGTACCCCTCCCAGCAAGCCCATCAGCCACTGCAGCAAGCCCAATACTCAACTCAACAAGCCCATCATCCAATGCACCCAACCCAGCAAGCATATCACCCAGCCCAGCAGGTACAGTACACTTCCCAGCCAACACAGTACACAGTCCAGCAGCAACCGGTTACCCACAAGAGTCCACCCGAAGACTGGGGAACAAGCACAGCTCGGGCACAGTCGCCGTTGAGAGTTGTTCTGAAAGAAATGCCCAGTCGTGAAGCTTCTCCAGCTCAGATTTCTCCACCAGGTCGATCGCAGTCACCTGCCTGGGCTCATACAGGCCTGGACAGACCACAGGTAAGATCATTGACTGACTGTGACTGTAAATTGCTTGACTCTCTAGCAAAATAGCAAAGTGCTTGAGAAAATTCATCAAGTGTTGTTTTAAAACCTAAGGAATTGAAGGTGACACTAAAGGTTATGCATTGTCACCTATGTAATGTGAGAGAGAGAGATATTCTTGGTCTTGTGAGCAGCCACAGATATGTTCCATTGGGGGAAAAGTCGGCAGCAATCCCATCAATAAGATGCAAAGGAAGTGAGGAGTGGGTAAATTCCTTCCCCCACTGCTCTTGCTACAGCTCGAGCCTTTTGTCTGATTTCCAGCAAAGATTGTCAATATTTTAGTCAATTGGATGATGGAAGTCAGATATCTCAAAAGCACTGAAATGTAGCTAAAATCTGAATTTTCGCATCAGTCTCGTTAATACCACATTATATCAGCAAATGCATCATCTCCAATTTACTGAGGTGTGCCAGTCCTTGAAGTCTGGAATTCTAGAGACCCTACGGAACGCTACACGACGTGAGGGGCGCTATAGTATGCAAGTTGTTGTTGTTGAATGCACTGAAGATTTCTAAGGCTCCTTGGAGATCTCTACCCCACATGGCTCAGCAGTATTTTGCAGTGGACAAGAACCAACAAAGTTTTGGAAATTGCTGAGATTGAGATATTTTATATAATTCCATAAAAGTTATTAAAGCACTACTGTTAAAGGTTAATATTTATCAGAGTACAGTGCACACAGAGAATTGGCTACAAAGCAATGTGAGCTATAGATTCTAATGCATGAACCTTATAAGGTTTTCAAAAAAAATTGAGGTCATTCATCCATTCAGAACCCACAAACTGGATGCAAAGTACTGTCTGGAGTACAAAAAATGGCAAAGAAAATGGACGAATTGAAAAGATTTCGATGTGCTAATTATCCATCTAACTGTTTTCTACCATTAGGCTCCTCAGCAACGAGCTCAGCATCAAGAGACACCGAGAATGCAACAGGAAACTAAAGCTGGGTCCTTTGGCACAGAGCCTCCTCCGACGTATATCCCAATTCAGGTCACTCGTGTTGATCCCGACACCAAGCAACCACCACAGAAGCCTCATCCCCAGTCCCAACCTCAGGCTCAACCAGAGAAAGCTGAGAGGAAAACTCCATCTCCTGCACAGAGCGGCAGCTCTCAGCAAGAGCAGAGAACAGCCCCAGAAGAGGCCAAGGCTCAAAAGCCCATTGTGACTGATGCACCTGAAAGGCATCCCGGTCTGGTAAAGATAGATAAAATACTGCAGACAGTTCAGAGGCTTGAGGAAGACGTGAACTCATTTGAAGGAAACCGGGCAGACAAACACTATCTGTTGCTTGAAGAATTGCTGACTAAAGAGCTTCTGGCTCTGGATTCGGTGGATCCCAATGGACGGGATGACGTGCGTCAAGCCAGAAGAGATGGAGTTAAGAAGGTTCAAAACCTTCTCGAGAGGCTGGAGCAGAAAGCCAGCTCCTCTGAGCCTCAACCAGGCACGATTGAGAAATACGCTCAAAGAGATAATATAGAAGGTGACTGCAAGAGAGACAAACACTGCGCAAACACAGTTACAGAAGAATCCAAAATGGAAACTGACCAACAGGAAATGAACCCAGGAGTATCCGCCGATTATAACAAACGTTAACTGTTTTATTAGCCCAAAGTGCATTTTTTTTTAAGATTGGGTTGAATTGTTTCGAAGATGCATGCAAATCGGGAACCTTTTTTTCACATCTGTGTCTCTCCAAAATTATTTAGCCTTCTGGAATACACAGGGAGACAATTTATGAACAAATGTCCGTTCGACACACAAGACTTCAGTTATTTGTAACCAACTTTGAAGAATATTATTCCGCTAATGAATTGCTAATGAATCACGCGTTAAACAAGCCTCTGTGTTTTGCTTTTTTTTTCGCATACCATCTCCCTTGCTATTAAACCCACCCATGTAGCACATGGTGGTGAGTGGTAAAACTGTACATACGCCAGTGTAGTGTTTAGCTTATAAACTGCAAGTATTACCAATGACATGAAGTGACAAGCTGGTCACTGTTGGGCACTTTATGAAAGAGTATGATGAAAATGTACAAGAGATTGGTAGAGTACGAGCAGAACAATGTAGATAAAGGTTTCTCTATATCCAACAAAGAAGCAATAAATTGAGAGATAATTTACAATGAGTGGAATAGCTATTTTGTCAGTAACAAGCACTCGATGTTTATTTTAAACTAATGCACGTTAGGCCCAAAGAATATCCTTGCTTACCAAAGTAACAGACTTTTAAAATTCAGGCAGGAGAGGGTTTCTACGTTTTGACCTCCCCTTTGAAGTGCATTCCAGTCAAATGATTGTTTCTGGGTGTAAGATCAAGCTCTCAAACCGCATGTCTTGTTTACAAATGGCATTGAGCTCATCTCAGCACCTGACGCTATGATTGATAGGACCTAAAACAGTCCAGAATGGAGGTCGCTGGGATTTCTCAAAATAAAACCTCAGCCAGCATTTCATATCACTGTACAAAATACAAACGGGTCTCATTTGAAATATGCCTTTTGGTAAGTAAAGACTCTTTACCTCTTGATACAAGCTAGAATATGCTTCTATGGGACAACAGTACGTAATGATTGTTTTATTGTAACCACGTTTGACATGCGCTTGTGAGAATGTGCGTCACAAACGTTTCCTTTAAGCAGCTGTTTCTGAAAGATGAATTCAATGTTTTTTTTTTTGAAATGTGCATCGCAAACATTTCCTCTAAGTAACTGTTTTCTTGTTAAATCAATTGCACCGCTGTTTTAATTGTTATGCAGACTGCTCCTTCGTAGGAAAGCCTGCAGCGGCTCAACTTTTGCACACTGTTTCCCAAACGCTCCTCGCACGTTCATGCCAAGAGGGTTCCTGGCAGATGTGATCCACGGCACCTCCAGGGGAACCTTTGTGCTAGTTAGGAATCGTTCCTTTGAATAAACAATTGAAGGCAGGGAGCAAACTGGTTTGCAAACTGGGTAATAAATGATCCTTGCTTCAAGTCACAAGGCAGCCTTTATCTGGCAGTGTTTCATTTAACGTTCAGTAATGGGAACATTTCACCTGCAGGGGCTACCACACATCCTTGAAATGGAGTTGGTGCCATTAAATCACATTGCCATGGCAACTGTGTTTGGCTTAGGAACATGAAGCACTCGTTCAATCGAAGGGGTGTTGTCTTTGTGGAAAAGATACTTGCAACACGTGTTCCATTTGTTCCCGAACACATGACGCAACGGCAGAACCCACACCCACACAACACACGATCGCATCACCAACAAAACATGTTTCTGCAATCTGGGCTGCACTGATTTGGCCTTCAGCCTAGTCTTTGCCTTGTTTATCCCTGCCTCGCACTGTTAGGACATCAGTGACAAATCAACTATCCTTTCCCCCCACCCCCACCCGCCCCATCTCTCTTTCAATTGCCTTCTTGGTAATTTCCATCCCATCCCGGCTCTCTTCGATTCAGTGGATTCTCGTCCTGGTCTTCAAATCCCTTCATGAACTCTTCTCTCGCTGCCTACATACATCTTCAGGCTTATTTCCCCCCCCAATGACCCAGTCTCTTGCTTGTTCCTCTCCCCCTCTGTCCCACCATCACTGACTGAGCCTCCAGCCACTATCCTCCACTCCCTTTGCCTTGATCTTTCTGTCCCCGTTTTCAACATTCGTTTGGTCAATTTTTTTTATCTACGACTGTATTTTTAGTCAATAACCTTATATCCTCCCTCTCCTCACTGCTCCCTATTGTCTCTGAAACACTTTGAGCCATTTGTCCTATGTGAACGGTGCTATGTAAGTGTAAGCTGTTGTGTGTGTACCTCCTATTTTTAGTTCCTATGCAGTATTCAGTACCTTTTATTTATCAGTATTGTGCTTATTTTGCTGGTGATCAGCTCAGGTGTGTATGTTATTAAGTTCTCTTTGTAGGATTTTGACCTCTGATTTCAGTGTTTTCACTTGGTTGGTACTTGTAAATTTAACTACCATTCACTGACACTGTAAATTCAAGGCCTCTAACCATAAGCAAAGTCTAAATATATATAAACTCAATAACTAACATAGCAAAAGATGTTTTCTATAACGTTCATAATAGAAAATAAAGGGATTATATTCCGGGATCCAATTCAGTTTTTCTCCAGCTTCGTCCCAGCTGTGAAACCCATTAACATTTTTCTTTCAACCAATTATCTCCCCCGCGACTCACTTCAAGGGCAACAAAGAGTATTTATCGGTGGGCTGCTGGTGGCCGTGGCTATGAGTCCTTAAACCAACAGTCTGTTCAACTCTATCGCACGTGAAGGCCGCTACGTAAATGCATTTAATAATAATAATAATAATAATCCTTGCATTTGATATCGCGCCTTATCACGTCGTTGAGACGTCTCAAAGCGCTTCACAGGATGCACTGTAAAGTGGAGTGACTGCGTAATGAAATTGGTCCTTTGCTGCACGGCTGTTTGAGGGACATCGCTGCGTGGAAATTGGCTGCTGTGTTTCGTCTACAAATACACTCGACAGAAAAATCCTGTGAAGCGCTTTGAGGCATTTTGACGACGCGATGAGGCACCAGATCAAATGCAAGAATTTTTATTCTCCACGTGCCCGCCTCCCCTGGTTAATCAATTCACTTTACAGCGCATTCTGTGACGCGCTTTGAGGCGTCTCGAAGACGTGATCAGGCGCTATATCAAAGGCAAGGACTATTATTGTTATCATCAGCTTCTCTGCAGCCTTGACAACAACAATAACTTGGGTTTATATCGCGCCCTCCACGCCGGACGGCGTCTCAGAGCGCTTCACAGTAACGGATCCCGGGGCCGACCCTCAGGGGGAGGAAGGCGATCAAAGGCACGGTTGAAAGGCACAGTGACCGAAGGCTCTCTCTCTCTCTCTCTCTTTGGAAGAGCTCACTGATGTGCCTGTTTGGCTGGGTGTGGACCTGAGTGGCTTGATGTGTTATATATAACCTGAGTATTTATTTGCTTGCTGTAAGGCAAATTTGAGATTGTGTTGAGAGTAAATATACAAAAGGAGGTGGGGAGAGCTGAACAGAGGGCGATTGCACTGAACATTTACTATTACTACTACTAATAATAATCCTTGCATTTGACATAGCGCCTTATCACAGCTTCGAAACGTCTCCAAAGCGCTTCAGTGAAACCGCAAAGTGAATTGTCTGTGTATTTTGTGGGCGAAGCGCGGCAGCCAATTGCTGCGCGGAGGGGAAAGGGAATCGAACGCACACACTAAGCTTGTAAACCTTTCTGTCGGGACATCAGCGAGTTCCTGTGGATCAGCGGTTCGATATCCTGGTTCAAGTGGATGAAATGGCCACGTTCTGAATTGTCAACTCCTCTCCCAAGAGCGGCTTGAGGTTTAAACCTCAGAGCAGAGGTGTGAATCTGTGTGTGTGTGTGTGTGTGTATATATATATATATCGAGTACTTGCTACTAGTTTAGAAGGTGTACAGCAATACCAACTCATTGCTGGAGCAAAGCTTTCTCTGCCTGTGTGCACTGCCACTGTAAAGCACAAACTGCAGGAAGCAATTGAACAGCCGTCACACGAGCTTTGGAGCTTTAAGGAGCCCGTCCATTTTGGAAGAGTGAAAAGTACTAAAAGTGGGTGTTGTCTACGCTGAGTTCCACTCGGGCAGCTCGCCCAAATGCTGAGCGGCAGGTTCAAGGTCTGCAGCGTATAATTAATAAAGTCCTTGTGGTTGATATAGCTCCTTTCGCATCGAGAGGGCGTCTCAAAGTGCTTCGCGGGATTCACTGTCATTGACTGTATTTTGCAGGTGAACGAGGCAGCAATTTTGCACGCAGCAATGCCCCGCAAACAGCCGTAGGGTTAAAATTCCGGGACTTTCTGCTTTACAAAGGGCGTTTCCTTCCCCTTTTCGAAAACAAGCCTGCACCAAAACCTCAATGCCATGAAGTTGGTCTGGATAAGATGCCAAAACCCGAATCGTTTAACATTGCATGCAAATCGGAGATTACTTTCTCTGCCCTGAAATCAGGCCAGTGTGACTGTCTGTGTGACTATCAACAAATTGATGAATTAACTCTTCCAGTAAGCCGTTGAAGTGACAACTGGACTTGTGGAATTTCAACCACGCTCTCAATCATGTTTCTCTCTCCCTCCCACCTCCCTCCCCCCCCCCCCCCTATCAACTTATTCTCCAGTCAGCTATGTGAAGTCTATTGAGTCATTCCCCCGCTGTGAAAGGTGCTATGTAAAATGTAAGTTGTTTTTTGTTGTGTAGGGGTAGTAGTCAGGATGACTGAACTCCTAAATAAACAACAAAACAAAATTAATGTCAAACACTCAATAAGCAATTCCCTCTTTTCTTTCCTGGAAATCTATCCCCCCACTCCACCCCGGATGTGGGGGAGGAAGGACAGCTGGGGGTCGAGTCACTCGCCTAAGTTGCGCACTGCTTCAATGAGTCTGAGGGAGAGCCCAGGGAGGTTGAGGAGTTTAGATCCACAGGAGTGAAGACGGGAGCCAAGGAGCATGGCTTCCATCTTATCCATATTCAGTTGCAGGAAGTTTACACTCATCCAGGCCTTGATGTCTGCGTGGCTGCGATAAGGTGCCAGCTATATCAAATGCGAGGATTATTATTAACATTATTATTATTATTAAGTCCTGATGAGATGCTTTTGCTTTAGCATTGCTTAATGTGAGATCTGATCACCAGCCCCGATTCCTGGGCCTGTCTGTGAGCGCCAATTTACCAGGAGGGAAAAGTCACAGCTGTTGATCTATGGCGTACTCTCTACTGATAGTCCGTCTGTTCTCTCTAAACCTCCTACAGTGTGGAATCAGAGTGGAGTTTGATCAAAAAATCAAATCAACACCTCTTGAATACCCCCTCCCACACAAGTGTGATTTATAGTGTGCTCTATCTGAATGCCTTTACAGTACTGAAATTAGTGTCAAGTGAGGTGACTGTTTTTATGGGTTAATGCAGCAGCTATTTTACATACAGCAAGTCCCGTCCTACAAACGAGCCCACAAGGTGAACGAGCAAATCGTATGTGGAAGATTGCTTAGCATTGGTATGTTAATAAAGTGAGTTGCCTTCCAATGGTAACCTTGGACGCAGTCTAAGGAGCATTGACCTGCATGGGGAAGCGAAAGTGGTGAACTTCGGCTCGTGTGTGTAACGTTGAAGGATACGAGCGTTTTTCGCGTTTCATTGTAAAACGTCTGTAGAATGATGCCGATGCCATTTAAGTCCTAACAAAGTTGCGCCACTGTCCATTGGGTATTTTAGACTTGCCAGCCACACATTCCACGTGACGGTACCCTAGAGGAGTAAATCCCATATAAATACTGCACCAGGAAATCGGATTCTAGACAATACAGCAAAAGGGAGATAATATGTTGTGGCTGGATTGTTAGCTGTGCTTCATGTTACACTGGAGCCCACTTACGCAAAGTCCTTCCATGAGATCAAATTTTTTTTTTGCCCAGGGTAAAAATCCATTCTTACACTCGGCAATTGATTGCTGTAAGGGCTCAATGGCTTTGCGCTGGCCTCGCTTAAAATCTGATTAATTGCTCTATTTTCCCACGCCAGGAGCTCGTTAATGGCTTTGTAATAAATCTGAGATGACAGCAACAACGTGCACTTATATAGCACCGCCCAGCAGGGAGCGTCTCAGAGCTCATAACTGTGGCGGAGCCTGACTCCGAGCCGGGGGGGGGGGAGGTGGCCGTAAGCGTGATCGAAGTGGTAAGTCTTCAGGCAGGACTTGAAAGAGGGGAGAGGGGGCGAGGCAGAGGGATTGAGGGAGAGCGTTCCAGGGTTTCGGGACGCAGTGGCTGAAAGCGCGACCTCCAATGGTGGGGCGGAGGGTGCGAGGGACGAGCGGGAGGTGGTGGACTGGGGGAGTGAGGAGGTCGGAGAGGGAGGGAGGTGCCAGGGAGTGAAGGGGTTTGAACACAAGATAAATCTGCAAATCTTCAAAGCGTTCACTGGCCTACGACCAATTGA